GTTAGTAGCAGTCTCCTAAATTTGCCTGATCACGAGGATTTCCCAGGACACCTGTAAAATATAGAGATCCTGGATCCCACACCAGACTCACTGAACATGAATCTCGAGAGCAGGACCCAAGAGCTGTGTGTGTAACAAGCAACCCAGGTGATTTTAGGACCAGGCAAATATGGAAAAATCAAGCTAAGGTATTGTGAACCCTGAGCTGTCATCTAAAATGAACAAAGAGATAAATGAGTCACGGTTCCTCACCCTGAAAGAGCTCTGAGGTCATTCATTCATTCAGTTGATCAGACAGTCAGTCAAGAAGACTTTTCTACACATCTGCCCTGCAGCAAAGATTGCTAATATCTGGACACAGGTTGATGAGATACAAGCCTCCACCTTGTCTCCAGCTATGCGGGCAGATCCATCTTCAGTTTCTCCCCAAGTACCTAAGCTTCCCACACTCCCCATAAACTTCAAGACCTGCTCTGAGCGGAGGAACAGAGCTGACCTCTGTTTGTCCCACCTCTATCCCAGACACGAGTCTGCCTGCCCACTTACAGTAATGCTGGCAATCATTGTCTGTACCTCCAGTCTGAGTTCTCCTGGAGAACTGGGGCTAGTTTATCTTTGTATCCCCAGCAGCTTGTACCTGGTAGGCACTCAGTGGAGGCTATAGTTTATCAGGGCAAAAAGACACATATGCAGATACACTGAGCAAGATGTGCTATGATAGATGTAAACATTCACAGTGAAAACACAGGCATCAGAGCCAGAGAGGGATGAAGCACGGTCCTGTTCCCAAAAACCCCCCAGTATAGGAGGAAAGGTAGAAAGCAACAGCCGTATCATAAGGCCAAAGGGGAGGGACATTAGATAAGCAGAAACAAGATGTCCCCCAAAGGAACACGTTTCTGGCTACTATCAGGGAATGCTTCAGGGAGAGATCGTATTTGAGCTTAGACTGAAAGGGAGGACTTGTGTATTTGAACGAGCAGAGATGGGATGGCCAGGCACCCCAGGAGGAGGGAACGGTGTCAGCAAAGGTACAGAGGCAGGAACAAGAAGACATGTTTGGATGGGTCTAGGGGTGAGAGAGTGCATGACCCAGAGCCTAGGAGCAGAGTGTCTGGGGGATGGGAAGTCACAAACAAGAGTCTGAAGGGACCCCAGGCCTCCCTCCCCTTCATGCCTCCCCTGGTGGCCACCAGAAGAGTCTAGCCTTCCTTTATATGTTATTTCCACATTTTCTAGATTTACACTTAATTAATTCCATTTCTTCAATTCACACATTCCCAGTATTTGCAATGTTTCCCCTGGGCCTCAGAAATGTATTACATGAAAGATGAGCTGTCTGTGCTGAAGAGCAGCTTGGCAGAGCTTCATATGCAAGGCCAGGAGGTGGCTAAATAGATTCTAGTTGGGGAGGGTGGACCCACATTGGGTTGTTCATGAGATGAGTTCAAAATAGATCACAGCTTCCTTTAAGGATGGCAGCCTCTTTTCCCAACCTTCTCTCCTGACCTCAAGGGCTGAGGCCAATGTCATGTACTCTGAACAAGGGCTCAGTGAGTCCCAGGTGACCTGTGTCCAGACCACCCACCACGAACCCCCGTCCTGGTGATTTTCAGTAGGGGTGGGCAGGGAGGGCCATGAGCATGCTGGGCAGCTCTGGGCCCAGGAGAACCTGGGGAGAAGGATCCAGAATCTGTTCTCAGACTCCCTGGGCCATGGGAGAAAGAGGTAAGAGCAGTAACCAGTCATGCAGCAGAGGTCAGAGGTCTGAGAGTAGCTGGTGATCACAGCAGCATAAAAGGACAAAAGAGTAAAGGACAGGGGTTGGGGGTCCACATTAAGTGAAGATAAAATACAACCAGGATCGTCCTGCAGGAGGGACTAGACACTGAGTTCCCCCTCAAGGACAGGGCCAAGTCGCATCGTTATTCAATGCCCTAAATATGTTGTGACTGTCTGGGAAACAGGAGATCTGGCTAGTGGCTGGGTGAAGGGTTCCTGCCCTCTTTATAGCAGCACGGTCCACCAGAGACACACCGCAAGTGCCACTTTAGTAATTTTAAATTTCCCAGTAGCCACATTAGAAAGAAAAAGAAGGTGACCTTAATTTTATAGCCATGTTTAACCCAGTCTATTCAAAATACAATATTTTGGTATGTAATCTATATAAAAATCATTAATATTTTTGCTTGTTCTCAACTAAGTACGTATTTTACAGCACTTCTCAATTTGGATAAGCCACATTTCAAGTGCTTGATAACCACACGTGGCTGGTGGCTCTATATTGGACAGGGCAGCTTTAGAAGCATCTGACTTGGTGGCTTGTCTTGCAAATGTGAAAGAGGTGAATATCCTCACTTTGTTCATGGCCAGAGTGGAAGCAGCTTTTATGGCCAGCTAGAACTATGTCCCCTTCTGTCCTCACTGCCCCACCATGTCCCCCTGAAAGCTACACACTTGTAGAAGATCCTTGTAGACAGAGGATGGGTACAGGCACGGCATGCTCCCAACTAGCTTCTCCTAACCAGTCCTCAAGGCCCTTGTACAGGGGAATATGTGGCAGGGCCCAAGACTTGCATGGCACTCAGAGAGGAAGGAGTCTTGCAAAGACTGCTAAAAGGGATGGTATCTTGGTGTGCAAGGGCTGCTGTCACAAAGCACCACAGACTGGTGGCTAAACAATGGGAATTTGTTTTCTCACAACTCTGTAGTCCTGGGAGTCCAAGATCAATGTGTCAACAGGTTTGGTTTCTCCTGAGGCCTCTCTCCTTGGCCCACCTTCTTCTTCCTGTATCTTCATGTAGTCTGCCCTCTGTGCATGTCTGCATCCTAATCTCCTCTTCTTGTAAGGACACCAGTCACACGGGGTTAGGAGCCACCCAATGACCTCATTTAACTTAATCACCCTTTCAAAGACCCTACCTCCAAACTGAGTCACATTCTGAGGTATTAGGAATTGGGACTTCAACATTCAAACTTTGGAGGACAGAATTCAACCCATAACAGAGGGGAAACACAGGACATTCTGAGATTATATGCCCACTAAAAGTCCCTAAGATCCTTGAGACCTCAATGGGGAAGGCAGAAGCTGGGCATGGGAAAGAGCCTGTATTTTCAAATCTATAAGTCAGTATCTATTTTACCAGAGCTGAATTCACCTTTAGAGAAGACAGCCTTTTTTTCAGGACAAATCTAGTCCGTGTTATGAAGACATAAAGCAAATGCTCCGGTAACTATGCAGATAGCACGGATAGCTGTGGCTCCCAGGAACCAAAGAAACCCATGAGATGCCAGGGGAAGGTTATCTGTGTAAGTGGAGAAGTGCCCTGCAGACTGTGTATCTGTCAGATAAAGGCTTCTTGCCCTGGGCATAGATTTGGACTGCCCTGGGCTGAAAATCATTTCTTAGGCTTAGGAAGATGTTTGATCTTAGGCAGGCAACACTTACAGGAAATAAGAAACTAAGGCAGGCTTGGTCTTCACCAGTGCCGGAGGAGAGACTATGAAAAGAACATGGGCTGGACTATTAATGTCCCACTCGTGATGCTGTTCCAGCCTGAGGCTGCTGTGGCTGAAGCCGGATCACCGAATTTGGAGGTGTGCTCATGTGCCCTCCATGTAGAAGCACACCAAGGAGGGGGTGCAACTGTTCTCCTGTAAGGAGTGGACACCCCCACTCTCAGGCCTCCATGGGGAGGTCACCCAGAGATGTAAAATAAAGACTGTGGCTGCAGGCATTCATCAAAAAGGTAAATAAACTCATCTCATCCAAAAAAACCTGCAGGAATATAGGACAAACCAGTTGGGCAGATGATTTCTAGGCTCTGACATGCCCACTGACCTGTGTCCTGTCCAGGATGGTGGGGGTGGCAAGTGACAACAAGACAGAACAGTTGAACACAGAAGCATCCCCGTAGACAGTAGCAAATCTCAGAGAAGAAAGCAAGACGAGGCATATGTGACAATAATACGGATAGTAAATGATAACGTGATCTCTCAGTCGCTACTGGCTGAGGCTTGGGCCTGTTTGCTCACTTCCACTGGGCTGAGAGTTCCCAAGGCCAAACCTCTTACTTATCTTCATGTCTCCAGGATGATCCTGGTACAGAGGAGAGCCTCAGTAATCACACAATGAAGGACACGGGGAGCCAAGCCCAAGCCTGCTGAGAGGAAAGCGTTCGTGGGAGGGTGTCAGGCCATCACAGGTCCGAGAGGAGTCCTGGGGAATTGTGCTGAAGGTTTTTCTCTGTATTCCTGACAAAAAGGCGGCCTGCCTCTCATCCACAAATATGCCTCTCAATGGGTTTTGCCTCCCAGACACAAAATCTTGAAAAGCCAGGAGAAAATTTTAACAGGAAAGAAAAGAGGGTAGTCAGCAGTCAGTTGGTGGCCAGACAAATGTTCTATGAATAAAGGAGAAAAATAATCAAACCCCTGCACAGAACCAGACCACGAGGCCCTCCCTTTCCAGTGGCCAGTGTCTGGAATGGGGTCCCTGAGAGAGGGATAAACAACAATAAAAAACAGCTTCTGTACCCAGGAGCCCTCTACTGAAGAGCAGACAAGTGAAAACATATAGAGGGAACACCCCAAACCCCGGCCTGATAAGGAAGCCATCACCAACACCAAGCTCCGGGGCCAGGACCTGGCGCTACTGCATCACGCCTCCAGCCCCCAGGAATCACTAACCAGCACTGAGTGCTGACTTCCTCCCCAGGAAGACAGAGGACTTTCTCCAGATACCAGAAGACGATTCAAAAGATGCTGGGTGTCACGTGATGAGAATTCTGCGGATGTATGGTCGTGATGGCTGCACAACGATGGGAATGTACTTAATGCCACTGAGCTGTATGCTTACAGATGACTGAGATGGTAAATTTTATATTGTGTATCATTTACCACAACTAAATTTTAAGTTAACTGAAAGACAAGTCAACAACTGAAAAGAAAAAGACATGGGGCATCTCTGAGTATGGCCAATGGCCACTGCAGATCTCAGAGATGTTTGATGAATACATAAATAAAGGCAGCACATGGGGCACTGGACACACAGACACATAGTAGCTGTGACCACTCACTGTTGAATATCTGTCAGTTTATTGAGCACTTCTAGTGTACTTTGTATTCCTGCTGCTAGCTTAGCTCCTACCACACATGACTGTTGTTTACATAATTACAGCTAATTTGTATAAGTATTTCAATGCTTACACACATTATCTCAATTACTCCTCACAATAACCTGTGAGGTGGGTGTCCGGTGGCTGTATTCCTCAGAGGGAGTAATATATTATACCAGAGGGTAGGAAGGTGTCAGAATAAGTCAACAAAAATAAAACATGAGGTCAGTGAATTTGGGGTAAAAATCCAGAAAAACCTGTGGAGAAACAGAAAATAAAAAGAGAAATGTCAGCATGTTTCTGTCTTAGTGACCATAAAAGTGAGCCTAGGAAAGTTTGGAACACAGGGGAAGTTAAACCAGACTGGGTCAGGTCAGTGTGAGTAAAACTGTAACATTTCCAGAATATCTCGCCTGGCATATCATATGGTATATCTGCATAACAATAGGTGTTCAGAGGTAGAAAGAAGTATAGCTTTAGTGCATTTGCATCATTCCTCAGGGGTGGAGAGAAGTTCATCTCCATATCAATGGGTTATTACCTGGGCAACTGAGGGCTTATCTGTACCCCAGAGGTGAGAGGGAGGTTTTGCTTCTGCTGAAGCAGGGAAGAGAGAAGGCCTGGGACTGGAGTGTGATGTGTCTTGTAAGCAATAAACAGGTTTTAAGCTTTATTTCTCCCTTTGACTGATTTCGGTTTTTAGAGGTATTTTGCCCTGGGATTCCCTCTCCCCGGACTTACATCTGGCGCAGTTGGCAGGATTCCTCTGAACC